ACAAAGAGATACCAACAGGGAACTGAGTGTCCTTTGAAGCAGAAAAAGGAAATCAATCAAAATGAATACAAATTCAGAAAGAAGCTTATTTTTCAGGTTGATGTAAACATCAAATTTATAAGTTTATAATTGGACCTTGTATTCTCATGTTCAATTAATGTCACTAATAGGTAACAAACATAAATGTGTTGCAATAAAACCTTTAGTCTTTCATTTTATAACAGGTCATGGAGGAGGGTGTTGCATAGTTCTGTTTGCCTACAGAGGACATCATGTGAAAACATGTTTTCTCTGTTACGTCCAAATTGATTTGCGCCTCCTCTTTACAAGTTGCCAAACCTCATTGTACTGAAAGCCCCAAAAGGCCTTGAACTTAATTCATGATTTCAAAAATGTAAGAAATGGTGGGAAATAATCTGGGCCGATACGTTTAGGTTGAATTTTGTAAACTGATTCAATGTAAACGTAAATACATTTAGAAAATTTGTAGATTAAGCATCTTCACCAAAGTCGAGAGGCTAGTTTGAATCTGCACAACTTTGTGTCCTTATCTTGTATTTATCTGTAGGTGTTTTCCAAATACTTTGATTGTTGTTAATAAGAGAAAACATGTGTGCTTGTTTAATTTGTGGCTTTAAATTAATATAAAACCCTGAGCATGGATTCATGTTTGTTTATCTTAGTTCTTTTTACTCGGAGTCTATCCTTCTGTTCATCCACAGAATGCTGGAAAAGGCTTCAGTTTTCCAATGCCTGAAACAGTGGATATTCTTATTAATAAAATCATTTAAAAAAAAAAAAAAGTGAAAAGAACAGGTTATGGATTTACCAGGAACAAAAAACGTTATTTCCTGTCACTTTTTGCATTTGTTGTGAGTGGAATGAAGCTGTTTGTGAATTTTAAGATCATTTTGTTGGATTCAAAGATGTCAGGATCTTGAGGTGTTTGATTTTGCTTTTCATTTCTAATCATCAATCATTTTATTGCTTAGGTCTTGCCATACTCGGATGTAATTTTGTGCCATCTTGTTTTTTCCCTATCGGTTCTGATCTCATTGCTCTTGTCAGATTTTTTTTTATATTCGAACTATCCTATATGCAAACTAGTTATCCATGTGGTCAGTTTTACCTGCTTAGATGAATTGTCTCGGTCAGATCGTGTCCCTGTACTTCTGTTCATGTTAGATCTTTTTGCTCCATTTTCAGTCACTCCTTCCTTACCATCCTCATTCAGCATGCTGTATTTATACCACTTGATTTAATTCACTCCTCAAAGATTTTTACTGTTTGTTATACGGTATCAGGCTGGTTATTTTGTCCAGTCTGTAGGTTTTTCATTTTTATCTATTAGAACCCATAACCTCACATAAGGAAGAAAAACTCATTAAAAATTTAAATAAGAGTGAACATCTGAAAACTGCATAAAAACACTTGCATTGTTTGGTCTATAGTTTAAAAAAAACAAACAAAAAAAAACATAACTTCATAAGCTTTTTAATAGTCTACAAATGTTACCACAACAGATAAAAATATGTTATTGTCCATGGGATGCTTTTTTTAGTGTTTGGAGCCAAACCTAAAAACATGGAGTCAGAATCCTCTTGGTAGTCATTACGAGAAAAGAAAAAAAATACAATCTTACAAAACTGATGAAAAACAAAGGAATTTTAGAGGACAGAAACTGGCAAAAATGTGGAAGAAGATTTAATGGGGTCATTATGGAAGAAATGACAAGAGGCTGGATTTACAAATGCAACTAGAATTACATAAAACACAGATTGATCATTTATAACACGAACTGAAAACCTGAATAAGTTTAGAATACTCGAAACGTTTGTTGAAACTAATTACATACCTCACAGTTTTTGAGCAAGTTAATTACAATATTTAAGATTGACGCACTTATATTTTTCTAAAACAATTAAAACAAGAAGGAAAAAAAGGAAAGAACTCAAAACTTAAAAATCCAAACTAACCAAAAAATTTGAGGTAGACTAATCAGTTTCCACAAAATTTTTGAGTTTTCTGAACTATTTGGGTTTACAGTACAGAACCAGAACCAAACTGCAGGTGTTCGAGGTGTTAGAGCTTAGAGCTTGGAAGGAAAGCAGAGAGAGTTCTGGCTGCAAGTTATGAAACTGTGAGATTTGCTTTTTTTATCTGTTTGTGCAAAAATGTTAAAGGGGTCATAGAATGCAAAACCGAGTTTACATTGTCATAGATGAATAACGATAGTTCAGTGGGTGAAATGGACGTACAGAGAAGTTCAAACCCCATTGAAACATCCTTTCTCTGCAAATCTCACAATTCTAAACTTCCACTGTAAAAAGGGCGAATCCAATCGAAGCCCTGAGTTCACGTCAACTGTGGGATGTTGCCTTATTTGGTTCTGGCCTGTACTTTTGTCACGCCTCAAAATTGACATATAGACCAGCCCACTGGTTCACTGGCCCGAGGGTGGGGGGCCACTAACTGGACTGGACCTCAGCAGAGAGCAATAAGCTGCCCGTCCTGAGCTGAACGAGGGGGGGCGGGGGCCGGTAAGGCAGGTGGCGGGCAGAACGGGGCCGCCGGTGTCCAGGCTACTGTCAACGGGTTGGGTTCAGTCACTCCGTCCCCCGCTGGCTCCCTGCCCCCGTCCACCAGGGTTCCCGGACCAGCCCTGGAGCTGACGGCTCGGTTCGAGTGCCCTGTCTGTTTCGACTACGTGCTGCACTGTAGTCGACTAAAATCCTGGACAATTTTAAAATTCCCCCGAACATTTTTTTTTAGGTATGATAAGTAGGACATGTCCGGGAAAAGGGTGACGTCTGGTCACCCTACCATATCAACAATTTCGATGTTTCAGTGAGTTAGTGCTTGTTGCTATGATGCATCTTTGCTCAGCAGCTTTGCTCGTTGTAAACCAACCAATCAGCACACAGCTCATCTAAATATTCATGAGCATACCATAAAAGGAAGAACATTTTAATTTCATTCTAGGGCTTTTAACCAGGCTTGCATTAGGGCTCATAGAACAGCAAACATGCCATTTTCAGCCCAACTAATGTTACACACCCTATTCAGAGACCTTAAGGACCAGCACCAAATACCCTATATAATCATTCTATGACCCCTTTAATATATATATTATGGCAAACGCCTTTCACTAATTTTTGCATGTGGTAAGGTAGTTCAAACTTTAGTGGCCATTCTTATATTATATCCAACTGCAAAAACCTCTTAAATCTGACCTGGGAGTGTATATTAAAAGGGAATGTATGTTAACCTAACAAAAAACAAATGAAGCAAACAAAAAGAGATAAGATAGTAACGAGTAAACTTAAACCAAGACTTGGATTCAAAATAGTATTTAAGATACTTAAAAAACAAAACGTGTTATAAAATGGCATCAGATAAGTGATTTTTATATTTCATGTTTCAGAAAACACTGTATGCAGCTTCATCCTCCAGGATTACCTTTTTTAAATGACAAGTTAGGTCTCAGACTTAAGTAAGATATAACACTAATTAAACAAAAGTGGCCTGAATTTGTGGCCAACACTATTTAAAACTTTATAAGGAATGATGAGGGCCTTCTTCCATGCATATTGTTGTAGCAGAAATTACAATGATGCCGCACTCATTCGCTGGAAAATAATATGAATTCTCACTTCAGCATCTTTACATTGGCCAATCTGAGTTTATAGTTTAAATCCCTGCTACTACAGAAGGGACTTAGATGTTGATTTCAGTGGGAGGAAGGTGAAGTCGTGGTTATCCGGGTCATCCAGTTGCTTGACTAAATACCAGAGATGTGTTGAAGGATTCGGGTATGTTTGGACAGATATGGACTGCTTCCCCTTGTTTTCCAGCCCAGCTGCTGGGATTTTTAGAGTGGTATTGATCTTCTCATCAAAGTGTTATTTCCCAACATTGTGAACTACTGCACTTGTGATCGTTGAAGTGGATGATTTGTGCATGTTGTTGAACATAAACTGAAACAAGAAACGAGCCGCTAAAGCAGCCCTGTATCATGTAGCCTAATAATTTATCGAGAAGTGTGTTTTGAGTTTGAGAGGAAGGGAACATTTTGTGCATTAATGGCACAAGTTTTTTTGTTTTGTTTTTTCTATGGGGAGGTGAATAATGTTAGTGTGCGTGTGTTACACCTGGATAGTACTGAAAAGCATTGAGTTCAAGGTTGTTCTGATGCCACTTGAGAGTTTATGAATGAGGACTTTTACAAGGTAACAACATGAGGCCCCAGCACATGTTCCTTAAATTATGCCAATTCTCAGGCGATGGCATCTGCGTTCTATCTATCTTTGTGTTTTTATTGAGGGAGGACTTTGGTTTAACCCCACTTTAAACATTAAGACCTTCTGAAAGAATAAGTCTGAAAGTCCAGGTTCCATTTTGATAAGCTGAGATATTAGTTGGGATAACCAGGGTTGTATACACACCAAGACAGACGTATGCGTGTGGAAGTGCATGGTGGTTTGGAGAGCATGATTCTCTCGCACGTATAGGCTACTAGTCTAATGGGAGCTTTTCAAAATAAAAGCAATAAATCATTCCAATAGATTATTATTTATACCAAGGAATTCTTCGTCTTTTTAGTTAAAAAAAATAAATTATCAAGCGCACAATTAAAAGAAAATTCTATTTAATAAAAAAAAATTGTGGGTTTTATTGGAATAAATGTAAAGTTAGAAACATAAAAGCCTATAGAAAGAAATAAAAATCGAAAACAAAGCAAACATTTAATCTACAGCTGGTTAAATATTTGCCAGGGCATAAGTGTGGCAGTGGCTAGTAGTATATTTGCTTTGCCAGAGTTTCGGTTAATCGCCGGGAGACGCGGTTCAAGCGAACCGCCTCACCTCCGCTGATGTTTATTTTCAAGTAGAGGAGGGGTGAGGGCATTTCCACGGTCTATCTGAGGTCATACGATCCTCTTCAGCGTGGATCCATAAATGAATGGTGGGCTCGACAGCCACACCATGGCGGACCTGTCCCTGATTGGTTCGGTGCGCGGCAGGAATAAACACTCTCTGAGTATATATATTGCTGCAAGGTGTGACACTTCCAAGAAACAAGAAGTCTCTCTTAGAAAAGCTACTACAGAGCAGCGGTCATTCAGCATCACCCAAAGATTCAGAGAGCGACAGGATGAGGGCGCAGATCCAAAAAGTTCCTCAGATTGTTGAGCTGCTGAAGAAGAAGTCGGTGGGGCTGCAGCACTTCAAGCCCACATCCTCCGTGTGCGTCCTGGAGCAGAAGGATGCTGTGGAGGCTGCGCCGTGTCCACATGCTGCCTTCAGGGCGCACAGTTTAGACGCGATCCCGGGGCCCACCAACTGGCCCCTGGTCGGGAGTCTGGTGGAGCTGCTGCGAAAAGGAGGACTGACCAGACAACATGAAGCCCTGGTAAACATCCTTCTAATATTTAAGATTTTTTTTTTAATTATTATCATTATCATTTATCGATAGGATTCTAATTTTATTTATTATAATAATATATCTGACGAATAATTTATTAATTTCAGATTGATTATCATAAGAAATTCGGGAAGATCTTCCGGATGAAGCTGGGGTCTTTTGAGTCGGTGCACATTGGCGCTCCTTGCTTGTTGGAGGCTCTCTATAGGAAGGAGAGTAATTACCCCCAGAGGCTTGAGATCAAACCATGGAAAGCATACAGAGACCTAAGAGATGAGGCGTACGGACTCCTCATTCTGTAAGTAGAGCCTCTGGGCATCATCTGCTGTTTCCAAAGCGGAGGCGCACATGCTGAAGCGCGCTGCTGTTGTTGTTTCGCAGGGAGGGGAAAGACTGGCAGAGAGTCAGGAGCGCGTTTCAGCAGAAACTCATGAAGCCGACTGAGGTGGTGAAGCTTGATGGCAAAATAAATCAGGTGAGACAATTCAGCTAGAGATGGTTACTGCTTCTTTTTGCTTTTTAATCAAAGTTTCTGCGATCAGCGACTGATGCGTTCGTGCGCTTTTTGGAAACAGGTGCTGACGGACTTCATTAGCAGGGTTGGAAAAGTAAGCAACAACGGAAAGATTGAAGACTTGTACTTCGAGCTGAATAAATGGTCGTTTGAGAGTAAGTTGATTTTTAAATTATTATTAAGAATAAATTATTATTCTTAAACATTTAAATAATTATTATTAAAACTGAATTCATCTCTGATCTTTTCCTGCTGCAAAGCGTTTCTGTTTTCTAGCTTTTTAAGAATAAAACAAGACATACCATATAAATTATGAATAGAAATGAAACCAAGGACTATATTTCAAATGAACTGTGTCCTATTTTTACTTATCAATGTCTTTTATTTGTCCCACAGCGATTTGTCTCATCCTGTATGACAAGAGATTTGGTCTTCTCCAGGAGAAAGTCGATGAGGAAGCCATGAACTTCATCACAGCTGTGAAAACAGTGAGTCTCAGTCTTCTCTAGAAGTTTCTATGTAAAATTTAGATGATGATGATGATCTGTGAGGCTGTTCAGCTGATTTTTTTCCCTGTAGGGTTGAGAAACATCATAGTTCATCAGGTTCATATCAGCTGGCTAGGCTTAAGTCACTGCAATAAAGCAGCTCTAGAATATTTGTATCTATCCAGAGATTGATCCCCTAGCCTTTTATCTGATTCACAGCAGAAATGATGTTTGGGACTCAGAAATGTAACAGGGGAATGGGGTCATAAATAAGTAGATGTAAATAGGACTGAATCAGAGACTTTGACTAAGAGTGAGAATCACATCCCACGTTTGATGCCTTGCTTCCTGTTTTTCTGCTCTCCTTAGATGATGAGCACCTTTGGTATGATGATGGTCACACCAGTGGAGCTCCACAAGGGCCTTAACACCAAAACATGGCAGGACCACACCGCAGCATGGGATCGCATTTTTAACACAGGTAAACAAAACAAAAAAAAAAGAGAGAAGTTTGTGCTTTGAAGTAAAAGATATATCAAAAACAAGCATAAATATTCCTGCCTGGAACATTTCTCTCATTCCTTAAAGCACGTGTCAAAGTTCTTTTATGTGACACACAAACCATTCTGAGTTCACTTCCAGTCAGATGATAGATAGGAAAATAACCGAATGGGCAGGAGGTTTGATTTCAACCGGCTCTCTTTTTGTTTTTTGGACTTGGCACTCAGGGTAAATAATGGTTCAGCATTGTAGTAAACTGCCTGGCCTGAGGTTAAGAAGTAGGCTATGCTAAATATTTACATCAACAAGACTTTAAGTAACAAAGAGGATGACGTTGAAGACGGTGACGTTAGTCGCTAAAAATGTCCCAGAATGTACGGATTGTGTTTTCAGTCTGGTGGAAAATTTTTACAAGATTAACAGGAGAATTGAAAGGAGACTGAGTTGGGCTTATTAAAGTGGATTAGTGTGAGTTATATCTTATACCCCTTGAGAAAAAAAAAATCTTGTGACATAATATATTATATAAAAAGTTTGTCAATCTAGCAAATGATATATGATGATATATATATAATTCCATGTGTCAGAATGTCATCAGGCTACAGAAATGTTTTATCACATGCAATAATCTTTTACTTGCCACAAAAATGAAACAGTGTAAATCAAATTTAGATACTAAAGATACTGAAACAACTCGTCCTTTAATAAATTTTTCTGTTTTTAAATCTGAAAAAATGTGGGGTTTTCTTTGATGACAATGGTCCAAATTTCACTGCTGCCTCCTGTAGCACTTCAAAGAAAGTTGTCTTTTCTCCATTCACCACCCCAGCAATGTTGAACAGTGATAATTTGTCACTGATTACTGAGAAAGGAGCTGAAAATGATCCCTATTATGTGTAAACAGCGATATGCAAATCCTTGTGTTCACACATTGATTGCTTTGTATTCCCTCAGCCAAAGTCTACATTGACAAGAAGCTGAAGAGGAATGCCGACAGAGATCCAGATGATTTAATCGGTGACATCCTTCAACAAAGCTCCCTCTCCAAAAAGGAGTTGTATGCAGCCATCACTGAACTGCAGATTGGAGGAGTTGAAACAGTGAGTCACACTTTCGTAATACATGTTCAAAACTTTCCAAACTCTTTTATACGAAACGTAAACCAACAACTGATCAGGAACAGGTAGCAGATGTCTTTCATCTGGCTTTTGAAAAAGATTTTTCCATACCTGTACATTTCTAATGCAGCACAGGCTACTTAAAAAAATAAATAAATAAATAAATAAATAAAGGATATCTTTTTGACATTCAAATTTATCCAGCATGACTTTTCAAAGATTTAAAATAAAACCAGATAGCATTTTTTTTGACATGACCAAAAATAGCCAATTGTAACCCAAACTAAATCCCTTCTTTTTACTTTTACACTGAAGTATTATAAACAGCTAACTTAACCATATATAAAACATTTGATCTTTTTAGGTTTGTGGATCCCTAGCAGCTAGTTAGCATAGCTACACTCAATATATATATGAAATACCGACATAGCAAAATGACTTACAGAAGTAGCTAAGTTGGAAAAATCTTTACAGTTTAACCTTTTTTTTTTTCTGTTAAAACCATTTATTTTGGACCTCCATACATCCCATTTCAGCTGCATCAATAAACATAACTTTCAACTTACCTTGAACTTACAACCTATTTTATACAAACCGATAATTTTAACACAATAGCCTCCTCAGTTTTTGTGCTTCTAAATTTTAAATAAATGCAGTTTGAATTTACGTTTCCCGCCTTTGAGAAACCGCAAAAATTCCTTAGCTCCTTTCAGGACCTCACAGAGGAATGCTCTGAATACTTGCTCTGCCAAGTGACATCTGCACAGTGCTTCCCTCCTTAATTTGTATCTCTTACTGTTTTTACAGACTGCCAACAGCATGCTGTGGGTTATTTTCAACCTGTCACGTAACCCTGCTGCTCAAAAGAGGCTGCTGCAGGAGATCAGAGAGGTTGTGCCTCAAGACCAAGATCCCTCAGGGGAGCACATCAAGAGCATGCCCTACCTCAAGGCCTGCCTCAAGGAGTCAATGAGGTACTGCACAGCTTCCTGTTGGATAGGTCAGGGGGTGAGATTTCCATAGAGTAGATCCTAAAAGATCTAGGTTGAAAACAATGTCAATACCTCAAGGTGTACTCAACACACTGATCACACATATTGTCAAAGGTTGTGCTCAATCAGGGGGGATTCACCATTAAGCAATGCTCAAGTTCCTGGGGGCCCTATAAAACTCTGTTTACATAAATGGTTAATACAACTATTCCTTATTTGTGCACATTAATTATGTTTTTTGATATCTAATATGCCATCAGAGCGCTTATATTAGGTGTTTCTCACCCTTACTTTTGCCGTCGCCTTTTTGGAAACACAGAAAGGAGCAATCAGTTAAGAGAGCTTAGCACTTGGAAAAAAACTTTATTTCATTTCGAGACAGCATAAAAAGTCAGCTGAGCACAAAACAGAGAGAAAAACAACGAGAAAAGGGAGAAGAAGAGAGCGACAAAACGTAGAACAAATTATTTATGTCTATTCTATTAAACTATCTCTGTGCCCAATCATTATATTCGGAAAGAGAACAATAGAGATAAAAATAATTCTTCATTGAGTATTAGCACAGAATCAGTAATCCTGAATGCTATTTGGATTTACACACTTCAACTATGCTTGCTAAACTTAGTCACCTTTTAAAGGTTCAAGCTTAAACAGTCATATTTTTTGAAACCATTACATTCCCACCAGTGCCACAGAGATCAAGAAGGGAAATATTACACACATGACTGCCTCAAAAACAAGCTTCAAGTTTTTGACTTTTTGGTAGTCAACCGGGTGGCATGACCACCAAGCTTAAATTCAGCCTCTGGTCACATTCACATTTTTTCTTTTGCCTTTCTTCCATTCACTTTCCCCGCCTTCTCAGACAGTCACAAGAGCTGTCAGACAGGTTATTTAAGGCAAGCAGTGTAAAAACATCACAGGTTATGTAAATGACCTCTGATCACAGATTATACTCACCTCACCAAGCAGCGCTAAGAGTGTGTCTGCCTTCTATTAGACGGCTTAGCATGTGTGATATGGTATAAGTCAAGTTACAAGTTTTTTTTTTGTCATCCTTACAGGTTGTCCCCATCTGTTCCCTTCACAAGCAGGACGCTGGACAAAGACACTGTGTTGGGAGATTATGCCATTCCTAAAGGAGTGAGTAGCTTACTTCTTATTGCACCTTACGTTAGGAGATTGACATTAGATTTATCTAGAATGAGCCTTAAAATTCTGGTCCATACTGTCAAACATTGGAGTTAGGCCCTTCTAATGTCACAAAGCCAATAGGTCTTACTCACTCATATTTCACTCAAAATGAGCTGAAAAATAACCTTTACTGTTCTGCATTTACAGACAGTGTTAATGATTAACAGCCATGCAATCGGCTCAAACGAAGAATACTTTGATGATGGGAAGCAGTTCAAACCTGAGCGCTGGCTGCGAGAGAACAGCACCATCAACCCTTTCGCCCATGTTCCTTTTGGTATTGGGAAGAGGATGTGCATCGGTCGGCGCCTGGCGGAGCTGCAGCTGCAGCTGGCCATGTGTTGGGTACGGTTACCGCTGACAACATTATGCAAGTTTGCCAGAGATCATTTTAAAAAGATTTTCTACAATGATGCATTATTATTATTATTATTTTGTCCTGCAGTTGGTCAGAGACTACGAGATTGTGGCGACAGATAACGAGCCCCTTGATGTGATTCATTCGGGGCTTTTGGTTCCTAGCAGGGAACTGCCAGTGGCCTTTGTCAAGAGATAAGGTAAGAAAACAGCAGTTTATTCATCAGTGTGTGGTACCAGTTTATTGAAATGTTAATGTTATGCAGAATATAAATCACCAGAGAAACAAGCCATACATAAAAGTCTGGGGAGGGTAATCCTAATCCCTGAAACTTTAAATGTCACAAACAAATAATCCAAAATAGGGAATTTGAAGAATATATATTTATTCTATTTCTTATAATATGCTAGATGTTTGGAAAAAGTTTAGAAAGTAAATATAAAGGATGTAGGTTAATCTTGTTTTTTTTTTTGTTTTTTTTTTTATGAAAGACTTACTGGGATATGCCTCAATTTGCAGTACCCGTTTTGGCCACTAGGTGCTGACATCAACACGCTATACTGTACTGGCTGTAACTAGCTTTTGTTTACAATATATTTCCTTTTTCAAGTTAAATACTTGTACTTTTCGTTATACATTAGTTAATTTCTAGATTTATTTCAGATGTGAGAGGATATTTTAATGAGCATATGTCCTTGAGAGGATCTTAAGTGGTCAAAATAACAACCTAAGCATATAATGTAGAGAAGGGATGTATTTTACTTTGCCATTTCATTTGACTCAGACTGATAATTTCATCCTTTCCTTCCTTTATAGGCCTTGTGTTCATCTCCTCTGGACGAAGCAACAGAAAGTCTTTACTCCTGATGGTCCAGTGACTCCCTAAATGCTGCTGTGTACATAAAGAAAAGTATATATCTATAATTTTGTGCCATAAATACCTCAAACATATTTAAAGTAAAATGTAAGCCTATTAAAACTGACTTAAAGAACAGTTGTAATTACTAAACTGAATGTTTTATCAAGGCAGCTTTTTAAAATGTCTTATATTTAGAAAAAAATTACTTTATACTATTCCTTGTTTACTAACTTTTATATATATGTATGTATATAAGAGCCATGTCTGCTATAGAAGTGTATTTTTGTTATATATATAAAATGTAATTATACTTGTCTTATGTATTGTATATTGTAAATATTGCATTTATCTAAATAAATCTGTTATTAAATGTATCAGAAGACTCTTTATTTTCCTCACCCAATTTAGAATGAAATGATTTGATGTATTAGAAGCTCCGATGGAACTAAGTAAGAAAAATAACATTTTGTGTTTTAGAATGTTGAAATGAGGATGCAACTGATGAATTAAAATCCCTATTGTTTACCTTGGAACTTATGTATGACTATACAAAAACATTCAGAAATTAATGTTTAAATTCAGTGGATACTACATATGTTGGCCATGCCTCGTTAATAGCAATATTAATAGGAGTGTTGTAGTGAAGACGGCACCAACCAAGACCAAGGAGTACCTAGACAAGTCCAAGACATTTAGAGGCAGACACCATGTAAGGTCTCTGTCATGGTCTTGTCTCAACCTCTGAACTACTTGGTTTGGTTGATATAGTCTTGACTACAACACTACCTAATAGATCATTAAACAATTGCTTGTCAGCACCTTACTGCTGTTAGGCATCAAGACTTAATGGCAATTCCCTGAATTTTGAATTGAACACCAGAATGAAGGCCAAAGGGGGTTTAAGTTATCATAACATGGCTTTTTATAGATTATTTTTACAGATTTTTACACACAAACATCTTTTGGATTCACACAACATGGTCTGATATAGGAATAATAAGTGCTCCTTAGCTTTTTATTTTGAAACCTTATGTTTATGTAAGATGTCATAGGTGATCAAATGGACTGGTTTCCTTTAGATGTTCTAGGATTCTGCAGCTCAAATCTTAAAAGTAGCTCTGTTCGTGTAATTGTCATATATTAAAAAAATTCCTCGATTTGCGGATCACATTTTTTTTGTCTGATGTGGTTTTTTTTACCTCCAGTGCTGGATGCTGTGCAGCTGAAAGGATTATACCAATATTTTTTTTTATTTTTGAACATATGTTAAGAGCATAATCATAGCAACCGTTGTGAATTTTCCTTTTACACCTAGAAGCAGCTAAAGTTGAAATAATACTTCAGCTCCCTCTACCAGTCACAGCTGAGACAAGCAGGCACTGAAGATGCAGTGCAGGAGCAAGAACAAGAGAGAGGAAGAGGAAATACAAGCCATCTCCTCCATAAATCATTATTTGTGACATCTTTCAGAAACAAGTTCCAACTCCAACCCCAGCAAGGATCCAGTCAGACTATCAGGAATGCAATATTTATTGTTTACATAGCAGCAGGGTCATATCCCCAACTCCACTGTCTCACTGCCAGACTTTCTGACCATACAATCAGATAGAGACTTAAAGAAAGATGGAAAACTCACTGGAGGAGTGCTGGTAATGCTTGTGGACAACAGATGGTGTTATCCATAACATGATACAATAGTTTCATCTCTGCAGTCTAGATATTAAACTGTTGGCAATTTGTTTTTTTTCATCCATATTAACACTGTGCGACCTCCTTTTGGGGAAAAGGGATCAAAATCTTGCTTTTCTCTGCTCAGAGTTTAAGGCCCTTCATAAGAGGCAGCTGCATTAAAGACTAATTGTGTGACCAAACACATAAATTATTTAGATAAATACATTTCCAACAGAACTGTGAGATGGCTCCCCAATAATAAACCATGGGTAACCAGTGATCTGAAGTACCTGCTAAACAATAAAAAGAGAACATTAAGGAAGGAAAACAAGTTATCACTGAGGAGTACACAGAAGCAACTTTAGGTCAAGACAGTAAGGAGGCATACATTAAGAAGCTGGAAAGGCAGCTTCAGCTGCAATGATCTGCAGTTAGGAACCAAGGAGATGAGAGACTTCAACCAGAAAAAGGATCAGACAAATGGAGCTCTGGGCTGAGCCAATGATCTGAACACATTCTTAAATAGGTTATGTGTAGGAACAAGCTCAGCATCCTCTCTCTCGCTATCAGGCCCAAAGCTTTCCTCTCAGACCTCAAATGTTTAATCTTTTATCTTTGCTTTGGACTCTCCTGCTTATGCATATGTCATAAACCAAATCAGAAGATGGTGCTGCTCCCTCTTCCTTTCACTTATATGTCTCTAATAAAGAGTTAATGTAAAAAAAACGCGATGCAAGGCAAGGCAATTGAAGTTTATTTGTATAGCACAGTTCAGTATACAGACAATTCCAAGTGTTTTACATGAATTAAACGGTAATATCTAAGGAAATAAGTGGAATAAAAGCAAATGAAGATAAAACATAAGGTAGCAAAGCAAGTAAAACAGTTTACCACAAACTTAAACTAATGATTCCTCAGTTAATAGTTTAACAGTCAGAGGTAGCTCTAAACAAATGGGTTTTTAACTTTGACTTAAAAGAGCTCAGGCTTTCAGCACTTTTACAGTCTTCTGGGAGTTTTTTCCAGTTAACTAAATAAGACACCAGGTCTAGATGGTGTGTGCCTCCGAGTCCTGAAGGCCTGTACAGAGCAGCTCTGGAATGCCCCATTTACACTACCCCTCTGAAACTGATCCGTGCCAAGTTCAGACCGAGCTTGAATCAGTTAAACATGCTTAGCTTGGTTCTTAGGACCGTTTACACATCACGCTAGCACTGTTCCTCC